TAAAAGGCCGACTAAATAACAGAGTAAGAACTCAGAGTAAATCTACAGTTCCTCGAACTACAGAACCTTTTTTCTTAAGGCCAGAGAGTGAAATAACCTGAAGTTGGGAACAAGCAACGAGGAAAAAAAGAAGGCAATTTTGAGCCAAATAGCAAAGATATATTAGATCTTCCTATCATGCCATATGATAATTGTATATCATCATACAATACCAGTTACAAGTATGGGAAAACGTCAATAAAGAATAAAATAAAAATCAAACAAGAACATAAAATACAAATAACAGGGCAGTAGAAACGGCAAAGTATACATTTAGCATATATCACAATGCTGTACCTCAACAGGCCATCCATCCACGACAAATACATCCAAGGAGTATTCATCAGATGTCGAAAACACATGTGCTTCTCGGATGTTAAGTCCTATATCAGAAAGCAAAGCAGAAAGCTAGGAAAAAAAACTTATAAGGCGTTAGAAAAAACCAGTCTGAATTCTACCATACTGGTACTTTCATACCAATGACCAGCTGACATGAGCAAATGACTAGGATAGAAGTTGAATTATGCTCAACACCAAGTACAAGTATTAATCGCCTCATGATAGATTGTTCGTTTACTAATCATCTCTGATAGAAGCTTCGAGCTCTCAATTTGTGTACACTTAATTTTCAATATCAATTCCATGCATTAATTGGTGTTTTCTCTGTTAGTTAGAATAACTCTGTGTTTGTGGTTCAACGCTGTCAGGGCCACTTTTTTTTAGGAATTTTAATTATACAGGAATTGAAGTCATTCAGCATAGTAAGAAAGGAAACTGTGAAATTTGGCTCACTATATCTTTTTGTTACTTCTTCACGGAGTGCAGGTTTAATTGCTTTCAGGACTATTCCCGTTCCTATCTGTAATAAATATACACATGGTATTCCCTTCTTATATCACATAGCTCTTTAAAGAAAAAAAAGTATATTGCCCCCTCGGTTGAACATAAGGACTGCCACTGGTATATTTCATTCTTTCAATGAAATGGATTCTTACTGAAATAATTTTTTTTTTTTTTTTCATTTGCCCAAAAGCTCCTTCAGACTTGACTTGCTCAAAATATAGTATCATACACCAAAATAATGCAGCCACTAAAACTGATAACAAACAATAATAAACTATCAAAAAGTTTCTGCCCTTGTTATAAGTTCCGTTGTTCTTTTAAAGCCATCTTCTAAAGATTGTACCATAAGCTAGTAGGAATGCTAAACACAGTAGAATTTCAGCCTTATATATGTAAGTTCCATTAGACAGGAGCATAAGACAAGACTTCAATGAGCATGCCTGACTAAGAAGTTTTGCCTCGCCAAAAGATTCATGTAAATACAATAACAAAAAATCAAAGACAAAACAGTAATTCCAGCTTACCTGGCTAAGAAGCTTTGGCTTGTCAATCGTTGAAAATATCACTTCATGTATTGGAACATGTGCAATACTGCGCTGCCTGCATTTATTATATAGATGGCCGAAAATAATACGCGTCAAAATTTTGAACCCTGACGAGAGCTACAAGAATTTGCAATATGATAAATTCACAGAAATAGTGAATACAAACACGCGTGTGTTAATCAAAAATTCCTCCCACTTCCAATTAAATTATACCTTTTGGAAAAATTGTCCTTATAATATCTCTCATCCATGGCCTTTGAGTTCTTTCCAACATCCAAATTTAAGTCCTCAAGCTTGGAACAAGGCTCAAAGTCAATTATGTTTCCTTGAGTTCTACAAAGCAATGATTAAGAAATCAATTAAACACAAATCAAATATTTGACGAAAGAAAACTAAGGTATTGGAGAGAAGGTAGCAAGGAGGGAGAGACCGTTGTTAGCCTAATAATGAAAATGCAATAAGTCCAATAATTACCTCTCGTGCGACAGTGGAAGTCTTCTATCAGCTGCTTCATCAGATGAGCCACTTAATAGAATACTATCAATAAAAACGTGATCATCATTGCCATCTGACTTAGTACTTAAGTGCTACAAAATCAACAAGAAAAATGTAGAGCAATAAAACCTCCGACCACTAAACCAAAGCTTAAACAAACAACATACAAACTTTATTTAATAAAAATGAAGAGTATATTGATAAGAGTAAGATTTTATACAGGGCTACAGAGATATGAGTAATCATTATGAAATGTTGCACAATAATTGCCTATCTAACTACAACGGACAAAAGAAGAACAAAAATACAAAGACTTCACAACAACATTTTAAACCATCAACTATCAAAAATCCAACTATTGTGAACATCCTCGTATCAATTTTTAAAAATTTCCTCGTTCCTCTTGAACCAAATGGCAATTTGATGCAGTCCTTAGTAATGCGCCATCCTCAGTTTTTTTCCCTCTGATATTAGGAAGTCTTACCTTCAGCAGTGGTGGTTATGGCCTCATAATATAGTAATTTCAAATTGTCACACTCTCTAACTAGTCATGAATAGGAAACTGAATATATCTTTCTCATTCTGCGAGCCATTTTTCTAATTTTTGCCCCAGGTTATATGTTTTCCGCCATATGTTTGGCATTATCACACTCTATGCACAAAACTATAAGAACGTTTAGAACCAAGCAACACTGCCCATTAGTTTCCACTAAAAATTAAACAAATGAAATTGAAAAAATACCTCCAGAAAACGAATGTGGTAAACAGGGCACTTCTCAGGATCCTTAGCCAGGGAAAGAAGCTTTAGATGTAACAAAACATCTTCCACCTTCTCCATGTTAATATCAAGTCCATAACTGACAGAATAATTATAAATAACCAAGAAGTTAATAATTTAAAGAGAATGGAGTAGATCATCCCTACCCGGTGATATAGCCCTAAGTAATTTTAACATGTTATACTACTTACATACTCATCAGCCAGTAAGAATTCCATATTTTATCATCTTACGAGAAGCACAATCTAAAATTGTTCCGGTGGTCTTTGATAAGATTAGTAAATTTCTTATCCAGAAAATCCAAGAAGACACAATAAAACTAGCTAAATTCTATAGTACGATCAAGTCCTGATCCTTATGTTAAAAAAATCTTTCATTCTTTTTAAGCCACAAGTACTACAAAACAGTTCGCAGGCATTTAACCAGGGATATGATAGCAGAGTACTACACTAAGTTCTTAAGCTGGAAAGTTCAACCTTACGCCAAACAAGTTTAGTCAATTCAAAATTTAACAAATGTCAACCAATAATACTTTTCAAAGAAAGAAATTAAGTCAGTTCTATTTCCTTTCTGAACACGTTTTTGAGGTCTGACCTAAATTTTAAAAACTAAAAAACGTAATTTAAACGAAAATATTCTTGTTTCCAAACTTGATAACCAATCCACCAAAAGCGTGTTTAAAAAAACAAACAATCAATCAAAAAATTATACATGCAGACAGCCAACTAAATTTCAGAAACGGAAAACTAGAAAAGGAACCGTTACCAAACGAACTTTCCCAGCATCAGAAAACAACATATAGATTAAGCAGAATCAGTAGGATTATGACAGACGCGTATTAGAAAGAAGAATTCCGAAGAAAATTAATCCACTAAAAGTAGCAACCACTAATCAGCAGAGTTAGACAAACTATATTAAAGCAAGGATGCAAATGCATTTACACTCACTCCATTAAAGCAGCTCAACATCAATTACAAATATAAAAAATAAAAAATAAAATAAAAAAGGGGAGAGTGCACATAGAAAATAGCAGAGCAAGAGTTAAGAAGTCAAATATCCAAATCGCGATCAAATAAAATCGAAATAAACTACCTCGGAGGCAAGCGATTGAAGTGAGCATCCAAGTTCTCACGAAATTGGGGATTAGAAACTGCCTCCTCATGTCCACGCTCAACTAACCGAGTATAAACATCGTTCCGAACATCGTGGACAGCACAGAAGCCACCGAAGCTTCGAGGCGGCGAAGAACTCTCTCCAACACCCTCGACGAAATCCATATCCGCCATGGAATCAACAGAGACGAGGAAAGGCCATGGGAAAGAAAGCGAGAGAGGGAAAATTAGAGGAGAAAGGGTAGAGAAGTAGTTTGGGAATACTTAGGGATCAGTAGAGAGGATCTTTGACTGTTGATAGCATCTAGGGGAAGAAGATGGACTGGTTGGGTATTTGGAATGAAGATGGAGGGCAATTCCGTCATCCACATGTTGAACAGGATTTTTAAATAATTATATTTTAATGTTAAGATGGAAAAGGTTGCAGTATGGGACGTTATGAGTATTTTACGAAAATACCCTTATGATTTGCTATTAATTACTAGTTGAAAATGTTGTTGAATTTTCACCTTAAAATATTTTTAATATCCTACTATTTGTATAAAAATAAAAAATAAAACTAATAAATAGAGAATCTAAAGTTTTAATTAATAAAAAATAATCTCTAAATTTAGTTTATTTTACTAATTCTCTAATATTAGATACTAAACGATTGAAATATGTTTAAATTGGTCCGTATAAGAATTCTAGAAATTAAAATAATTTAATAGAAATTATTTTTATCAAAAATTACAAAAAAAAAATAACACGAGAAAAAGAAAGCAAATACTCGAGACATACAAGTAATCACACAAATACTGATTGGTAACAGCAAACTGGTGCTAAATTCTAAACCCTAAAACCCTAAATTCTATTTTATAACAAATCGGTACTATATCCTAAACCCTAAGCCCTAAAACCCTAAGTTCTATTTATAAGTCCAATTTTTTAAAAAATGGAATAGATAAAAGATATCATCAAAAACAAAATAAAAAGTTAACAAAAAAAAAATAATAATAAATATATATATAAAAAATGTATTAATAATTGATGAGAGATATTTTAAAATTTAAGGACTAAATTGATGAATGGTAACCATTTTTCCAACTTTATGAAAATCATGTCATAATTTATTTAATGTTTACTTTAGTGGTTAGGATTAAAAATTAAAATCATAAATAATGTTTTTTTTTTTTTTTTGGGTATGAAATAGGCACATTAATTAGGAAATGAAGTGAGCGAAGTTTGAATAATAGGAATGAGCAAACATTTTGCCCAAATTCACTTCAGATTTAACGTTGAGATGACCTCTATCTTCGTTAAGCCCTTCATCAAAGTTCCCCACCGCCACCCTACCGTCCACCATTCTTACGTTTGGTAGCTTCTGCGTGACTGCCTCCTGAGCATTCCATACCTCGTCTTTGAACTCAAAATCTGGGCTTATGAAGAAATCATGGGTCACTATCTTCACCTGCAGTTTTTAAGAACACAAATTTCAGCACAACATATCATATGTTTTGATTTAAGTTTAGATATGACGAACCAGGATGATGGGTAGATCTGGATGGTTCACGTCTGCACGCAAGTCCGTGAAGAATTTACTCAGCTCTCTCTCGTACGACTTAGCTTCTTCTTCCACCGCCGCATCGGACTCTCCTTGATACCAAAAGAATCCCTTAACTTTCCCACCATGTTCTTCCGAACGTTTCATCCGTTCAACCAATTTGGTGTACCTATCAGTCCCTTTAACCCATTCTCTCAAGTGAGATCCTCCAATGGCACACGGAACCAGACCGATGGTGCCAATGCTAGGGCCAGCTTTGGCCAAAAGCTCATTGGCAAAAGGCATGCCGGGTCCAACCCCATTGGTCTTTACAACGTCGATGTCCCAGTGGAGTGGCTCACGGGCTTGCTCCCATACCATATCAGCAGTGAATCGAAAGATGGATTGGTTGGGTTGAGATTCTGGGGGGATATAACCATCCCACACGTTTTTGTCTGTGGTTGGGTCTTTGGAGACGCCGCCTCGGCCTGCCATGTTGCTCTGCCCTGCAAGTATGAAAATGTTGGCCGGAGAAGTAGCAGCCATTTTTCTTGCTGGATTTGCTTCACCTTTGCCTTCGTCGTTTTGGGCTCTTCTTAATTATATATATATATATATATATATAGCAGTTTTTGGGTTCTTTATTTAGTGAATTGGGCGGTTTTTTTGTGATGAAATAAGGTCGGGAGTTACAACTCTCTGTTTTTCCTTGCCGTTTTAAGGTTCTCTTACGTTGGTTTTCATCCATGGGATTTCTGTTTAGAGCAACCTAAAATTTTATAGGAAGGGGCAGAATTCTCTCAACTAAGATAAAAATTAAGACCCATTTTTCGAAAAGAAAATAATTTTTTCACTGATCAAGAAGTGTTAGATTCACATTGCACACATTCACACATTCATCTAGATGAATACAAATACATTATCTAAATCCAAAAACAACATATTCAAAGCAATAAATTTCAGTTTAACATAATAAATATCTATTAAATATATCTCTACCAAGTTTAAGAGGAGGTTCATATCCGGACAAGAAGACATGGGGACAAAAAGGATTTATGTTCTATAGCATCAGGAAATTGGGGGTGAAACATGAGGCTGAAAAGAGGCTAACGTGGTAAGCGGCCAGGTGGAGGAGCGGATGAAGAACTTGTTTCTCATTGGTCAGAAATCTATCCAACACCCTCCTTTAGATTTCCCCCTCCAGATTCTCATCATCATAATTCATACATCACTCCATTTAAACCCACAATTCAATTCACAATATCTTCCACAGACCCTTCTGATCAAATCATAAGACATAGTTTTCGATTCATACCTGAAACTTCTCATTTCACCTGCCATGGCTGCAACCTCTGGTGCTGTGCTTAATGGGTTGGGCTCACCCTTCCTCCGTGGAGGTAGCAGAACCCAGACCTTGTTGGCTGGAGCCAGAGGCGGTGTCAATGTCGTTGGCTCTCGCAAGCTTGTCATCGTCGCCGCTGCTCAGCCCAAGAAGTCTTGGATCCCTGCTGTTAAGGGCGGAGGCAACTTAGTCGACCCAGAATGGCTAGATGGCTCGTATGTCTCTCGCTTACTTTCTTCTAGTTGCACTTTTTTTAGTTACTGTCTAAAAGCTGATTGAGGCATTTCATCGAACACCTCCTAAGCAATTACTTGTTCCGTTTGCGTAGACTTCCAGGTGACTTCGGCTTCGACCCATTAGGGTTGGGGAAGGACCCTGCATTTCTGAAATGGTACAGAGAGGCAGAGCTGATCCACGGCCGGTGGGCAATGGCAGCGGTGGTCGGAATCTTCGTAGGGCAAGCCTGGAGTGGGATCCCATGGTTCGAAGCCGGAGCCGATCCAGGCGCAATTGCTCCATTCTCCTTCGGATCACTGCTGGGAACCCAGCTTCTACTAATGGGATGGGTGGAGAGCAAGCGGTGGGTGGATTTCTTCAACCCAGAGTCTCAATCGGTGGAATGGGCGACGCCATGGTCGAGGACAGCAGAGAACTTCGCAAACGCAACAGGAGAACAGGGTTATCCCGGCGGAAAATTCTTCGATCCGTTGGGATTTGCCGGAACTATTAAAGATGGGGTTTACATTCCAGACACGGAGAAATTGGAGAGATTGAAGTTGGCTGAGATCAAGCATGCTAGGATCGCCATGTTAGCGATGCTCATCTTCTACTTTGAAGCTGGACAGGGTAAGACGCCATTGGGGGCTCTTGGAGTATAAGGAAAAATGTTGTTGATTTTAAGGTAAAATTGTTCATAATTTCACTACAAAAAAAAAAAAAAAATGGAGGGACTCTGCCCTTTGCCTTATTTCAATTTTTAATCGCATATCCTAACCATTTACAATAATTTTGTTTTAAAAATTGTGAGGCTGACAAGTATGTATAACGAATTAAAATGAATAATATCTACTAGCATTGACTTAGGTTATTACATATAGTATTAGAATCAGACATTGGGTGGTGTGTCGGTAAAGACTTTAGCCCCCACGAAAAGTAAATTATAAGATTTCACATTGATTAGAGAAAATAACGAATTATTTCTTATAAGAGTGTAGAAACTTCTACCTATAAACGGGTCTTAAAAACTGTGAGACTGATTATAATACGTAATGCGCAAAAACGGATAATAATTACTAGCGATGGACTTAGATTAAGTGAACGTACGTAGATATGGCGTAGGAGAATAAACCTACTCGACCTAAGGTGAGAGACCTAATTGACCGACACAACATGGTGAAGAAAAAGACAAAGATAATGTGTATCAATTATGATGTGATATATTCGCTTCAGTAATTAATAAAATAAATAAATAAAAGCAATGGAAATATAGGAATATTCTGTGACTTTTAGATAACGGAAAATAAGGAATTTTTACAATCCCTCGCTCAATTTTGATAGATAAAATAGATTTTTTTAAAAAAATTGAATATTTAGTCTAAATCAATAAAAACAATTCTAAACTTTCCCATTTATATAAAAAGGTTTTTTTTAAATAAAAAATTATTAATACTTTAAAACTTAAAAAATATATATATATAACATTTTTTTAAATATATATTTTTATTGGATATTAATTTCTTTCATTGGATAAACACTTAAAATATATAAAATTTAATTTTTCTAAAAGTTTAAAAATATTAATGTTACTAATGTTCATCTTCTCATCATGAGTCGGGCATCAATGACGAGTCCACAAACAACAATAAAGCCAGCATGGTTAGCGAGTTGGATTTTATTTGAGCAATTAAAAATTTTCGTTGCTCTCGGTTTTAGGCTACCCTTTTAATTTGGACTTTGATTACGGGGAGAAGTCCAACATTTCTCTATTAACAATCTCAGTTCATTAGGCCTTGCCAAACTACCTGACCGCTACAATCATGTTAGGCCATTAGAGAATTTAATAAACGAGTCGTACTTACACGATAAGAGTGTTAAATACGAATTCAAAATTTATGATATTAAATAATACAAATTAAAACTCCATTATTATTATTCATAGTAATCTAAACTTTAGAAACAAGTTGGTAGTGGAAAAATAAGTATATTATTCAATTGGCTATTTCAAATTATATTCTTAGTCATCTTCAATTTCAAAAAATATTATTAATTTATTGTTACAATATTATACAGCTTAAAATTACTATCAAATATTCAAAAATTTAATTAGTATACATGCAACAAACCTTAAATTAGTATATATATTCTTAAGAACAACTACTAAAAATATTCATAATTCTAAATAAAATATAGTGATTTAAGTAAAATTATTGATTTTGAAATTAATTTAATTTGATTATTTTTTTTCTTTGAAACTATAAATTTAAAATTGGAAAAAAAAAACTATAGATTATAGGAATAATAGCCAAAAAATAGAATAACAAACTATAGATTATATGAATAATAGCCAAAATTATAGAATAAAAACTATAGATTATATGAATAATGGTTAACTTCTTCTAGATTGGTGCTAGAGATTATATAAATAATGGTCAAAATTCTAGAAGGAGAACATGAATTTTTGTCGGCTTTTTTGTTCAAAATTCATGAATCTAGTCAAATTCACGTTAAAATTTATGAATTCTAACTAAATTTCGATGAATGTTTATGAGTTTTGCTGGATTTTGGTCAGAATACATGAATCAGACAGATTCACATATTTTCTTTTTTTTTTTATTATTATTTTGAATAAATTATTAATTTATGATTGAAGAAAAAAATTAATCTAAAAGAATAATTTGACAAAAAAAAAGAAAAAAGAAGAATGGGACAAAGAATCAGTTTTACATTTTCTCACTCAGTTTTAACATTTAAAAATAAATTTATTAAATATTTATTTGTATTAATATTTTTATAATCAAGTGGTAAATTAATTAATTTAAAAATTAGTTTTTTTTAATAATAATAAATAAATAAAAGAGTGGAGTTTTACAATTACTTGCTCAATTTTAATTAATAAATATTCATTTGGAATCATAATTTTATAATGGAAGTTTCTTTTTCATGACGTCATAAATGTGGTAAATTAATTTTATAAAATTAGTTTTTTTTTTTTTTCTTTTTCAAAAAACGTAAACTATTTAAGGGCTATATTTTACAACAACTCCAACGGCACAACACACCGTTTTAGCGCGAATACTCAAAGCTTAAACACTCAGGTTCCTTCTTCCTCTCTCTCGCTCTCTGTTTCTTTATTTAAATTCCATCTTTTACTCATCTGATTCAGCCAAGTTTTGATTGGATTTTTCAGATTAGGATCAGAGCGACGGAGAGAAGATTTTCTGGAAGAAGATAGTGAGATATGGCTGCCTGTACGATGACGATGGTTGAGAACAACGCTGGGATTGAGGCTGTGATCGGAAATTTTGATGTCAATGTTGTGTTTTCCGAGCCTCTGCCGCCTTTTCCGGAGATCAACACTGTCGTGGATCTCAAGGGACAACAACACGCAGAATCGAATCAGAAAGGGAAGAGGGAGATTGCGCTCGGCAGAAATGCCATCGCTACTTGCTTCCCCATCACCGAGCCTGACGACAATGACGAGTCTACCGGTGACAAGGAAGCGCACATGGCTAGCGTATTGGCTCGCTATAAAAAGAATCTCCTCGAGAGGACTAAATATAATTTAGGTTTTTAGTTTTTGGAAACCTAAATCTTGTTTCCGTTTAGGAAATTGAAATTTTTGTTCTTCTGACTTGGATTTGTATCTCTGCTCTCTGTTTTAGGTTACGCGTATAATTTTGACTTCGATTACGGTGCTCTGGCGCCGTTGCAGCATTTCTTCATTAACAATCTTGGGGATCCGTTCGTTGAAAACAATTACGCTGTGCACTCGAGACAGTTTGAGATTGGAGTGTTGGATTGGTTTGCTCGGCTTTGGGAGATTGAGAAGAATGAGTATTGGGGATATGTTACACATTGTGGAACGGAAGGAAATTTTCATGGGATTCTTGCCGGGTTAGTTTCATTGAGTTTGATTTCCTGTGTTCATACGGTGCTAATGCATATTTAGTTTTAGCAGTAGTGAAGCTTTGGGCATTGGTTCTTGTAGGAGAGAAAATTTTCCTGATGGGATTCTGTATGCTTCTGGGGAATCTCATTATTCCGTTTTCAAAGCCGCTAGATTGTATAGAATGAACTGTGTGAGGGTCGGCTGTCTGGTATCTGGTGAGATCGATTGTGCTGACCTTAGACTCAAGTTGCTTGCCAACACAGATAAACCAGCTATACTCAATGTTAATATTGGTAATTTCTGTCTCTTTCTTCATGTTTTCTACTACAAACAGGGGAATATAATCGTTTTATAGGTGAGAATTGAGTGGATTCTTGTTGCAGGAACCACGGTGAAAGGAGCTGTCGATGATCTTGATCTTGTGATACAAACACTCAGCGAGTGTGGGTTCTCTAAAGATCGGTTTTACATCCATTGTGATGGGGCATTGTTTGGATTTATGATGCCTTTTATCAAATGTGTAAGTCACTTTCTTGCATACTTGCAATTTTTACTAGAACATGTTTCTAGCTTCGCTGGCAGTTGATTGTATGCTCAAATTTAACTGTATCCAAGATAGAAAGTCAGGTTGATGTTGATTATGTATTGGCTTGGAACTTGATAGCAATTTGTGAGATCCCACATCGGTTGGAAAGGGGAACAAAGCATTCCTTAGAAAGGTGTGAAAACCTCTCCCTAGTAGATGCGTTTTAAAACCGTGAGCCTGCCAACGATAAGTAACGGGCTAAAGCAGATAATATCTGCTAGTAATGGACTTGGGTGGCTACAAATGGTATAAAAGCTAGTCACAGAACTATGCAAGACACTAGTTAGAATAGGGCTAGACCCTCTTCATAGTAGACACTTTAGTAGGACTAGATAAAGTAGACACATTTTAAAACCGTGAGGCTGAAGGCGATACTAAAGCAGATAATATCTGCTAGGGGCTGTTTCTTCCATTTTAGTCCTGCTTTTGTAGACTTGAGCACTTCCAATGAGCTAAGCTCTAAATGCTAGTTAGAATTGGCGCAACCACCCTCATCCCTCTTTGGCTATATATATAAATATCGATTTTTCTTCCACACCAAGTTACAGTTTTTTCTTCTTCTTGGGTTTTACCTGCTGTCTTCTAACTATCTCAGGAAGAGTGGTTGTTTTTGCAGCTACTACTTTCCTATCTTACCTTAATTCTTGGTTGCCAACCATATAGAACTGTATTTTATAGTTTGTACTTTTCAATAATCCATCCCCTGTTGTTTTTGAGCAGGCACCAAAGGTCTCGTTTAAGAAGCCCATCGGAAGCATCAGTGTTTCCGGCCACAAGTTCCTCGGATGTCCAATGCCTTGCGGCGTTCACCTTACAAGGTTGGAGCACATAAATGCCTTCTCCAATAATGTCGGGTATCTAGCCTCAAGAGATGCCACAATCATGGGAAGCCGGAACGGCCATGCTTCTATCTTCCTCTGGTGCGCCCTCAACAGAAAAGGCTATAAAGGGTTTCAAAAGGAAGTCCAGAAGTGTCTCGGAAATGCACACTACCTGAAAGACCGACTTTGTGAAGTGGGAATTAGTGCAATGCTGAATGAACTGAGCAATACAGTCGTGTTTGAACGACCTCAAGACGAAGAGTTCATTAAGAGGTGGCAGCTAATATGCGAAGGAAATATTGCCCATGTTGTGACAATGCCGAACGTTAGCCAAGAGAAGCTGGATGATTTCATAGCTGAATTGGTCGCAAAACGCTCAATTTGGTATGCTGATCAGAAAGTTCAACCTCCTTGTTTTGCAGCAGCGCTGGGAAGTCAGAATTGTGCTTGTAAGTTGCACAGGATTTGATATGCTTTTATGGAAACTGTGTTCTGTCGTATGCCTTATACATATATAGTCGTGTGCTTCGAGTATCATATATATATTGGTTATAGGCGTGTATTCCGAGTCCAATAAATATTTTGGGAACCCCACTTAGGAAATGATATATAGTATATGAAAAAATTAATTTAAATGTTGTATTCATGATATGTGGTGGAATAAGTAGTGGCCCAAAAATATATGTTTCAAGTCCAATATGGAAGCTTTTTTGGGCCTTCTTTTGATGTGAGAATGAATCCTTGGTTGAAGCCCAATAAAGAGGATGGCCCAACTTTTAGTTTGGGCCTTTTCTAGAAGCCCATGAACTATACAAAATTACCGTATTATATAAACAAACCCGTATCAAGCAAATCTGAGTATAGCTCAAATTACATCTTAAAACACAGTTTTGAAACCTATAATTTTATTACCATGTTAGATAAGATCGATGTTAAATCTAAAATTTAAAACCCGATTTGAATAAATTTGAGGTTTATTATATTCATTCTTTTACCATAACTTTTTTTTAAGGTTCAGACATCACAAGCATTGACTTTTTAACCGTGTATTTTTCACTCACTATAATAACAAAAGAATTGAAGCGACAATTACAAGTCACGTCACTTTTTTTTTTTTTTTTTTTTTTTTTCGATACTTACCC